GAAATGGTAAGAATTAAATGCTTCTTGAGAATACTAAGGGCTTCTGCCCTGAACTGTTGTCGAGTTTGTGCCATAGACAAAGGCCAGAGAAGTCTAGCTAATTGTATGTGTTTGGTATAATTGTTCAATTGTGTAGTTAATCCCAGATATTAGTTTTTGTAAATACTGATCACAAAATGCAATGTGCCATTTGAGTATGTGATGCACACAGTTCCTTCAGTTAGGGGCTCTTAAGGATTGGTGCTCTGCCTGAGGGGAATGCAAGGGCGTGACGTGTATATATCACTTTAGGGTTGGACAAGCTGCCACGTTTCTCTGTGCTGCATGCTCATCATAGGCCTGTCTGCTGTGATCCAGGTGGCCCTGTACCTTCCACCTACTCGGTAGATAGTAGCAAGTTCTTCTGTCAACCCGTGAGGTTATTGTTTAGCTCTCTAGAACAAAATTCTCCCTAGCCAGCAGCTGAAATGCTTGCTTTCTTTCAGACCCCGCAAAGCAAGGTGGAACAGCTCATTTGGTGAAGAAGAAAAAGATGTTTGGAGTGAGGAGGATGACTTATTCTCAGATGCAGGTAAGAACAGAATCCCTGTTGCAGGTGGTAACTGATAACCCTGGCTTTGTGGCTTGTTCTTAGGTGTCTTGCTACCTCCTGTGTGACTGGATTTTGAAACTAGAAATCTTAAAAGCCCAAGAAAATGGTTTTACCTCTAATCTGAAATGCGTGCCAAGAACTCCTGTTCAAATCTCAGAATAATTATCAGAACTTCAGCTCTCCCATTACCCACTTTTAGTGCCATGAAATAAGGGTTTAAGTTTACCTTTTCAGCGAGACCGGTTTTCTAGTGCAGTTCCCTTTGCAGCTATATATGCAGTTTAGCTGGCACTGCTGGTGAAAAGGAGTGGACGAGGCTCCTGAACATCTAATTCCAGCCTCAAAATGCAGCATAGCTGCTTTCTAGATGGATGCCCCTGTTCTCCTCAGCATACTAGCTACTTTAAAACAAAACTGATTATTTTTGGATCAATTAATGGCAAGGCAATTAATGCCTTGAAACAGAAAGGCTGTGTATGCTGTAATTGCAGGAAAGCAGGGAATAAAGTAATTTGGTTTTATTGCCTCTCCCAGGATGTTTTTGTTGCAGCTAACTGCTGAATCCTGCAGTTAGGCCAAAGGCAGTCTCTCAAGGAGGTCTGTTTACCTCCTAAGTTACAGTGAAACGTAACCTGCTTGGTTTGTTTTTCAGCATCGCTTGAGATGAACAGCCACAACTCTACAGTCTTCGGTTCAAAGAAGCAGGTAATGTGGAGCCTTTATTTCAGACCTACAGAGAGGATTTTAGAACATAGTCTATAGCAGAGCAGACTGTCAGCTAATTTGAGATAGGCTGTTGAGGATACTCTCTTGAAGCTCAGGCTCCTTCCTGAGCAGCATGCAGTTCACTAGAGCAGTGCAAGCTGCTGCTGCGCTTTAAATGGAGCCGTTGTGTTAAAGAGCGATATTTGCTGAGGCAAGTGCTTGTGACATCCAGGCTTGATCTGAGTTGTGCAGGTCTTTATATTCACAGAGCAGGCTTGAGTTTCTCTGCTAGAACCAGAACAGTTTGATAGTTGGCCAAAGCTGTGTGCCCCCCGCATGCCTGGCATTGGGTACTTGAGAAAAGTCCCTTTTCCTGGGTGCATGTGGTTTGGAGCTAGGTCTGCTGTGTTCCCCAAGCACTGGGGAGGTTCAGCAACTTGTTTGGGTGAGGTGCGCACTTATGGCAGCTCCTAAGAGCTCCAAAGTCATGTGCTTCTAGTAACTCTGCCTTGGTTTTAGGTAAATAGCTGCTTGCTTTTGTGCTGCTGTACACAGTGTAGCACTTTGTTCATTGTGACTCATTTTTTTCAGTTCTTGTTGTTTAGTCTCTGTACAAAAATTCAGGGGGACTGCAGAGCTGAACTTGCAGATTCTTTATCACTCTACTTCTGTGCTGTTATGCAGGGCATAGGCAGCAAGTGCTTTGTACCTCTGATTGCCCTTGCATCAAGGGGTCATTCCTCTCATGTAACCAGCGTCGTGCTTTGGGAAGCAGCACTACTCCTGAACTTGTGTTGGAGCTTAGCATTTTCCTTATTTGTAACACTGAAAGCCATGTGTGCTATTGAATCTCTGCCTTTTCCCTATGTCTCTAGAACAGATCATAGAGTAGAAGAAAGATAATATGCTAGGGAGAAGAGGAGGGTATAGTGCAGTTTCTGGGCCAAATGCAGCTCCTTCCTGAAACTGTGCTATGTCGATCACAGAACATTGCTTACCTGCTCTTTTGTAGAAATGGACAATGCAGGAAAGTGAGTGGATCAAAGAAGGTGTGAAGAAGTTTGGAGAAGGGAGATGGAAGTCCATTTGCCAAAAATACCCCTTCCGGAACCGCACAGCAGTGATGATCAAGGATCGCTGGCGGACCATGAAAAAGCTGGGAATCCTCTAAAAGTGGAAGCCAAGGGACCTTCAATGCAAAAATATTTTCTTTTCCTTTGAAAGATGGACCAGAGCAATAGCAGCAGTGAGGTTCCAGCGCTCTTCCCTGATGGGTGATGGGGGCAGCGTGGCTACTTGGTACTGGAGAGGGCTGCAGCAGACAGAAACCACATTTGACAAGAATTAAGGCGCCTTGTTTTTCTAGTTATATCTGTAAAGTTGAGATCTTCTGCAGCTGGCAGAAGCTACGCAGCCTGACTTGCACTTCCTCAGAAGTGGCCTGGAATGAGACTTCCTTTTCCACCTGACACCTCCAGCCTTTGCAGAATGAATTTCAACCTCATGGGCTGCTAAAATGACAGTTTTCTCTGCTCGGATGCTGTCAAATCAGTGGCTATTTTTATATTTTTTTAATTTGTCTTAAACTGTTTGTGAATCTTTTGTCCAGTAGGCTTTCTCTAAGTCCCTCTGGGGAGAGAGGCAGCACATAGTCCTAGAGCTTCTGTGGAGGAGAAGAAATTTAGGCAACGTGATCTGCTTTGGTTTTTACATTTCTCTCTGCTTTGTAAATGTCTAGTTGCAGGTGGGAATTTCTCCCCCCAAGATTCTTGAGGCTTTAACAACATGTATATTTTTTTTGTTTCGGTACTTAGGTATTGGTTGTTCCCCACATTAAAAGTTCCAATGTTTAATGATTTTGATCCTGTCTTAAAGGAATTTCAGCTTCCTGGTAACACCCTCCTCCTGTGCACTTGCTGTAAGTGTATGAACTGAGGGCACTGTTTCTTGTAGTGTCAAAGTTGGAGTCCATGTCTGAATGGTCTTCTGTGAAATAAAGCTCTTACGTTAGGTACTGCAGTTGTAGTATGCAAACTTGTATCTCCCAGATGGAAATGAGCATTCGGGACACTGACTGCTCAGATGCCTCTGGGGAATGCAGCACCCTAGAGGCATGGGACTCCCTATTTGCTTCCTGAGCCAGCTGTGTCAGGAACTGTGTAGGGGTGGAACAATGATCCCCTGAAGGGAGGAGATGCTGCCTCATAGGCACAGAGATGAAATGGCAGCTTCTGGATTGTAGCCCTGTAGAAGGCAAAGGGCAGGGTGTGTATGGAGGCATCTTCTAAAAGCAGCCTCAGTTTCTAGGTGAGTTGCAGTGAATGAGGCAATGCCAGAAATGGTAGGAGAAGCCCAGCCAGGCTCATTACTTTCCCATTATTCTGTAGCTGTTGCACTTAAGGTTGGTGGGGAGGGGGGTGTGCTTGAGCTGAGAGCTAATGTGTGGGCAACTCTGCTGTGTGAAAGCCAACCGAGCAGTTGCAAAGGAGCAGTTGTGCAAAGGTGAAAGAGCCCTGGTGGCCAAGTGCCAGTTTGGCAGATGTAACCTTTCAGTTCAGTCCAGAGAAGCATGGGTCACAGCCAATGCCCGATGCTAGGCCCTGGGGTAGGTGATGTGCTGTACCTTCCTTCTCGGTCAGCCACAGGGAGCAGTCGGATAAGTTAACAGACTAGCAAAAGCCTGAATGGTGGACGGGCAGGTACTGTGAGAGCAGACCTGCAGTGGTGCAACACAGAAAGGGCAGGTTCTGGAGAGATTTAATGTGACATTATCTCCTTCTGCCCTCACCAGTGAGTTTAATTTTTTAAAAATCAACGTTCTGGTCCAGCTGAAGAAATGCCTCCTTTGGCCATGTTCCTGCTGGCTTCCCTTAGAGCAAGGGTTGGGTAGAAGTCCCTTCTGAAACACCTGCTTCCTCTCTGTCCTTCAGGAGCAGCAGCTGCTGGAACGAGCTTCCCTGTCACCTGTTTGTGGCCGCTCATTTCCCTCCCCCTCTGCTACAGGTATTTCCCTTGGGCTGCAGTAGTTTTGGCTAGTAAGGATTACCTTGAGCTTGCAGAATCCTTTTCTGGGGCCGAGTTGCTTCATGTGGACCAAAAGCTGGATCAGTAACTGCCAATATGAGAAAGCGCCTGTCTTTCCTGCCCTGTACCATGCCCAGGTGGAAGGAAAACCCCTCATCCTGCAAGGGGCAGAGCATGTTCTGCTTCTGCCCTAGGCTCCACGGGGAGGGTATGGCAGCCCATGACCGGAAGCTCGCTATGTCTGAGAGCGTGGCAGTGAGGGGACAGCACGCACCCTGCTCAGCTGGCCTGTGTGGGGCTGTGCATGTGTCCTGTACTTAAACTCTTGTCTTTTCATGCTTAATTTGCTTGTTTGCAAGTCGCAGAGTGGCAGATTGTTAGGCTGCAAAGCTGTCTGAGAACAAAGGACCGGCTTTGTGCAGCCAGAAGGTGCTGCTGGTGACTGTGATACTTAGGCAGCAGCCTTTCTGCAAAAGGGTTCAATTTGCTAAGCTCTAATGTGGACAAAGTGGATCAGATCCTGCTGGCATCACCTTGAGGAGCGGAGCCTGTTCCAAGCCCAAGTGCTGCTGACTGAAACTGCAGAGCAAATGGGAGAGCAGGAGCACAGTTAATGATTACCGCTGCCACCTTGGATCCCTGCTCCTGCCCGCCCCAGCTGGAGCACCGAAGGCTTGAAAGCAGCATGTTCCTGTTGGGTCTGCTGGCGCTGGGGCTGCTGGGCCCTGCGGGGTGCCCCAAGACGGAGCCCCTGCGTGGGTCCAGCGATGAGCCTCTGTTCCGCGGGGCCGATCGCTACGACTTCGCCGTCGTCGTCCCTGCGGGCACCGTGGAGTGCTTCTGGCAGTTCGCACACCAGAGCGGCAACTTCTTCTTCAGCTATGAGGTGAGTATTGGGGGATGCTGCCCCCAAGGACTGATCCGATGCCAGCTGTCCCCTCGGAGGGTGCGACAAGCCCTTTGGTGGACAGTCCTCAGTCTGTGTGATCGTGCGGTCAGCACTGGGCTTAGGCATGGAAAAAGACCTTGTTGGGGTGAAATGTATGTGCCAGCTGAATCCCAGACTGGCTGGGCAGGGGTGGCAGTGGCTTGCCTTGCATGGGGAAGGTCATCAGTGGCAACAGGGAATTTTAGCAGTGACACAGATGGCGGGTTTCAGGGGCCGTGGTCTTTAGGCAGTTTCCTCTCTCACTGTTGATCCTATTCATTGTTAAAA